TTATAAAAGGGCTGTTATTTGAAAACTTGAATTATTTAATTGCTTTCAGAACTAATTATATAGTTCCTCACATGTTAATAAACAAGAATATATATGATTTTCATGGTAAAAATGACAATTATTCAACAATATTTGACTTCTCCTCCTGCTTCTATACAATTTTGTTTTTCGTATGCCAGCCATTTTGGATTAAAAGAAAGAGGAACTTCCCAGCATGCAATTTTAACCAATGACATATCACTGGAAAGACCAGGATGTCCTCTGTACAGCACATCAGGGATTGATAGAGTAGCTCAAAAGAGTAAAAGGAGATGCATGTTAACAAAATGTCCACTACAGTGAACATTTTCAATGGGCTGGGTCCCAGGATTATAGGAGGTTTAAAGTGACCACAGATGAATGGTAGAGTTGAACACCTTATCTCCAGTTATTGTTTTTTCATTCAACCCCCTCGAATTTGAGAATTATTGTGCAAGGCGTATCTCGTTCAGTTTTTTAAAAAACTGCATTGTTTTCTTAGGGTGAGGTTAGCAACGTGTGATTCCAATGGGGGTGGATAGTTACTCCCAAAGCTGTATTTAAGGAGACAGGAGAGCACTTCATGAACCAAACTGTTCCACTGAGAGGTCCTGCTCGTGAGTCTCTTTTGTTTTTGCTGAGAAATTTAACATGCAATAATGTATTTAGTAGGGCCGGGACTCGATTAAAAAAATTAATCTAATTAATTAGAGGCTTTGTAATTAATTAATCGAAATTAATCGCATTTTTAATCACATATAAATATTTGACCTAAGAACAGTGAGAAGCAATTTTTTTCATAACTTCCTTAAAGAGCTGAATATTTTGAGTTCAAGGGTTTCTGCTGCTTAACGTTTGCTGAAGTAGATAGTACTTGAACTTGAATGCTAAATCAGCATGTACACTAAATATTAGGGCCGGGACTTTAACGCGTTAATTAAGATTAATTAATTACACAAAAATTAACGCGTTACAAAAATTAACGCATTTTAATCGCACTTATTTTTGCACCGCGGAACGTTTCTCACTGGATGAGTTTCAGGCGTACCGATTATACTGGAGCACCAACTAACGTTCATGACTTCAGACAACAACAAACCACAGTGAACAACAGTGGGAAATGTTGTTTTAAAAAACGGACGGATGGAAGCGTCGATAAGAGCACGGTTGTGTGCAAATTATGCAAAAAGGAATTCGCATATCACCGCAGCACATCAAGCCTCAAGTATCACCTCAATGCAAAATATATAGAAGCTAGCGTGGACGTTAGCCTCTTTTATCGCGTTCACACCAAAAAGAGTCGGTACTAAAATTAGTTCATGAGAACCTTTTTACCCCCACGAAAGTCCCTGCTAGAGAGCAGAGAGCTGCTAGAGAGCAGGGACTTTCGTGCGGCTCTCTTGTGAGAAAAGAGCTATATTTCTGATTGGCTGGGCGGATTGCAAACCACGCCCTGTAAAACTCCCAAAAAGTTTTGTGAAGCCGCCATTTTATTATCCTCGCATTAGCATTATTAGCATTAGCCCAGCGCAGAAACGCAGAGAGACTAACTTATGGCAACACAAAATAAAACATGGGAGCGGAGGAGGTGTCGGCGTTCTGGCGTTTCCTTAAAGACCTAGACGGAATTTTCGCCTGCCTGACTCTCCTGTATTTATTTGTTTCTCCTAACCTGTTCTAACCTTTTCTTGCAGTCAGCATCAAGTGCCTTACCTCATTTGATTCAGGAGAACCTCTAGTTCAAGTCTGGCTAATTTGAAGTCCAAATTTTACCATAACTTTGTGTGATAATGGCTGAATTTACCAGCACTTTTCAAAAACGCCAGTACAAATGTTGTGTTTTTTTACTGTTTACTCCGCCAGGAACATAGGGATTTTCTTTTTTATTATTTACAAAGCTGCATTTAGATGTTTTAGGCTTTCAAATTAAATTTCATCTGCATATTATGTTCCCTGAGCAAGTTACAGCTATTTATTACAATATTATCCTAGGCGTTTTTCAGTGAAAAACGCCTAGGATCATATGGAATAATTAAAACGAAATGTATTTCCATATTTAAATGACTGATCATGTTTCTTCTGTCAAAAAAAGGTTGAGAGAGTAAACAATTAAACCATAACAGATGACATTGCAACAAAAATAACTTGTTTCAGAGATATATATTATCATTTGAACATTGAAATACAAACACAAACAGTGAAACAAATTCAAAGTGCAAATTAACAAAGTGCAAATTATATTAAAACTATAAACAAAGTATTAGGAATATATAGAAAGTGCAAAAGTACAAAGAGCAAATGATCTTCAAACTATAACCAAAATATTAGAAAAATATATAAAGAGCAAAGGAAATGTATCCACATTCATCATGGTCTGGGTCGCTCAGATGTACAGCTCTGCTGATTGCCATGAACCTGTCTCTTGTCATGACAGGAGCAGGAAAGAGAACACTCAGGTGTGATCCCTTCCTCCAGTAGTCACTTACTTTTAGCAGTTTTAGAAGTGCCATAAGGCCGACATACATGAGGAATTTTACCGGCTTTCCCAAACAAACTTTTCCCCCTTAGCCTGCTCCTTTTCAGCATTTTTGTTTGTGTTCTTGCAGATGATATTTACAGCTTGGTTGTTAAAACAATTTCTAAATATTTGTGCAGGAGTATACTCCACACCAACAAAACCTTGGACTCCACGGGCTCTTTTCGGGCAAAAGTGTGGTAGTTGTTGAGCAGTATCTGGCACCTCAGGTCCGTTCCAAACAGCTCCTGGATCTTCTGGGGTCAGAGATGTTTTTTTCCCTTTTCCTCTTCCTCTCCCTTTCACTGTCAGGGGGGCTGGCATTGGTTTGGCCTTTTTTTTGGATGCTGCACCCTCCTGGCCGCATTCTTTTCCCTCTCGGTTTGAAGGAGGCCTACTGATGGGGACAGGGGCTTGTGCATCCCCTCTCTCATCCTCTGTACTAAAATAAAAGGGAGGAAAATATACAGATGTCTGAATTTATTTTATTTCCTTTATTGCTTTTATTTCTCCAGTGTCATCCTATCTGTTTTCTAAACACAGTCTCAACTTTTGATTTGATTCACACTTTATCCCTCTGCTAACATTACTAGTTGATGGAATCAGTAACTGAATTGTAATGCAATGAATATAATAACATTAGACCTCATAACAAACAACCAAAGAGGGCAAGCGGAATGAGGCAATAAATGAAAGGTATTGCTTGACGTTTTTTTACTGAAATAAATAGTAGCCTCTATTGATAGTGAATCTTGAGCTCAGGACTTCACTTTATGACACAATTACGGCAAATGGCCATCCATTATAAAAACTCTTAGGACTAATTATTTTCGGCGTTATACAGCAACAACAACCGATAAATGCAACACAAACAATAAGAAATAAGCAAAGTTACTCACTTTTTTATCTTCGAAGGGATCAATCCCGTGATCATACTCCTCTTCCTTGCCAGTTGTCAGCTTCAGAATCTGAGGAATCCACCGCTGCATCGCTAAGCGGTCCGCCAGACAAAATAAATTCTACGGCTTCTTCCGTAGTGTAACGCCGTTTTGACATGTTGGTTTGAATTTGTCTTGGGATATGTGTGTGTGTGTATGTATGTGTATTTGTGTGTGTGTGTGTGTGTGACTGTATCTAGATATCTCGTGTTGTATTTATTTCTCTTACGCTGGCAGAATTACTCTTCTTTAGTATTACTCTCTGGTCTCTCTGTTTCTCTTTGTTTATCTCCCGCCGCCAAAAACATACACAGCAACCTATGTTGATTGGTCGAGAAGATGGTAGCATGGGCAGAGGTTTGCCTGGACCTTTACATTTTAAACCTATCCGGACACAGGGGGGTGGGACTTAGTCTAAAACCTTTGCTGTTTGGCTCAGACAGAGGGGCCGCGTGGGTCTCCTTGACGAATCAAGGCTGTAAAATGTGATAACGTTGCCCCGATCACGTCGGAGCCTCTGAATCCCGGAAAAGGACATAGTGATACCAGCAAAAAGCCTAGAATAGCCGCTTTACCTCACTTTTTAAATCAGATGGATAGGATTAGCGGTTACAAAGTTATATTAAGCATTTTAGAACGCTACCTCTATGAAGCCGCGGGCGGCACGCTCGGCCTTTAAGGGTTAAGGAAGTTATGAATGTGCTTGTTGTTTGATAATGTAATTAAATTGGGGTTAGAGTTAGGGGTTAACCAAGTATCAGTTCCCGGCAAAGAGTATACGTATGCCAACCAGTTTGTTCAGGAGATCATCCTGTTTCCAACGTAAACTAAGACTTTCGGTCTCCAAAGTCACTCTAGCAAGAAACTAAGGATGGACCTTTCCATTTAAATAAACATACTTATAGTTTAACGCTTGTCAGAGCTTCGAACTTAACTGATGTTTTCCTTATTCCAACATGGATAGTTATTGAAAACTCCTTCACATGTGAGCTCAATGTCTCTAAAAGTCCCATTTAAACATATTTTATTGTTTACTCTTTATTTTGCACCCTTCATCCATTTAACTCGTTACCACTTTCCAACGATTTATATAACTTTAGCTGCTTTTACGTGTGTTTTCTACTTCTATTTAATGATTAATATTCTGTACAACCCTTTCATTTTCACATCTTTCATACATCAATAGTTGTATACACATTTGAGAATAATTCCTACTACTTTGCTACTTTTCTTCTTACACATTAGTCAGCAGTGAAGTGTTGTGTGCTTTTTAAAATCTATCATCTGTGGCAGACTTTTGTCAAGCAAGTGTTTTGACATTCCTGCATTTTCAGGTATGATTTGCAATGATTTTTGTTATAGCTTTTAACCTTTACACACATTTTCAGCATTAGTTAAAAGCTGTTTTCTAATTAACACGGAAATAAAGTAGAAAGTACTTCTCACGTTCTTAGTATTTCAAGCAACTCCATTTATTTTTGATAATGCTCATGTTGATTTGAGTTCCTAATTTCAAACTTCCCTTACAGTTTTAAAGGTCCCTGATCCTCTGCAACCATGATCAAATTGGTAATGTTTGATTTTGGATTATATTTCCTTTTATTCTATGTCGATTTACAAGTTCTGCATATGCAGTATGTTATAATAAACTTTACATTTTGTATTTTCTCTGATAGTTAAGTGTTGCCATTGTTGCCGCATTGTTCTTGGGTAGGTTAATTATAAAAATGACATGATCATATTTGTATTTCACCCGAAATATACAAAGTCACAGTTTGTAACATTTTTCTCTTAACCATTACCAGAAAGCCACCAGCGGGTTGCCGGTCCTTACCTCTTACCTGCAGAAGTTCCAGAGATGAAGCCAAGTAAGTAGTTATTTAAACCATTCAGTGGCTCCCTTTTTTAAGAGACATTTCTGACACTCATCATTTTGTTTATTTTGTATTCTATTTAGAACTTCCCTGCGACTATTACACCCACATTCGTAAGCAAATCATACCTATTGACACTTCACAAATCCCAACATGTGCTATTTCAGTAATGTTTCAAATGCATTGTTGCTTATTTATCTCATTTGAAATGCCCATGTCCAGAATGCTGGACTGACTGGTTTGACAGAGATGACCCCACTGGAACTGGAGACTGGGAAACCTTCTCCGATCTTTACAACGACAACCCTGGAAAGATCTGCCCTGAACCACAGGGTATGGAGGCCACGACTCTCTCTGGACTCAGTGTGGCCGCAGCAGGGGAGGTGATTTTTAAGTAAGTGCTGAACAAGTAGGAGTCATTTGAATGTTTGATGTGATGGTTAATACTGTATTCTACTGAATGTGTTGCTTAAGTGTTGCTACTGCATGTGTTTGTTTACTGACCAGCCATATACTTGGTAACCAATGAGAAATGGGAATACGTTATTTAGAGAGGGTTCAATCAGTTGCCATTCACAATATTCAACCCAGTCTCATGGCATTTCATGTTATAGTCACGACATTTAATCTATTGATTCGTGTTCACCAACACGATTTTCCCCTTTTTTTCGTGTCACACAGAACGATTTTAAAAGCAATGTATTTCTATTGGTAGTATGTTTCGTGCCTGCAGCACATCTTTTTGTCCGATCGGGTCTTGGAAGACCGGCAGCTGTGGGGTTCATAAAAACATGTTTTTACTCAATATCAAGCCACGATTATTGTTTTTATTTTAAATCGTATAATGTCGGACTTTTTTTTGTCGTCTGTGAGGAAAATAAATGGGGCTCAGAGCCTCAGAATACTGAAATCTGTATTTTTTTTAATTAAAAAAATGTTTTCTTCTAATTTGTTATTATTTTCTAAATAACACACTGTTATATAAATACAGTGTTAAAAAATGCTGAAAGACACAAAGTAACAAGGATTTACATAGAGAAAACAAAACCTCAATATATATATACAGGTCTGCTCTCCTGCCACAGTCAGACTACCTTCCAAAACACTTGTGGCCAGAGGTTTATACATGTTAAGCCCCTCCCCATAGGACAATCCACTACCAATAACACACAATTATCCTTGTTTTTATTTATTTGTTTAAACATAATATAATAATAATATAATATATAATATATATATATATATATATATATAATGAATATGTGAATATATCATATAATATAATAATGTAAAACATATAATTAATAAATGGATGAAAATCGCTTGTATCCATAATGGGCAGCATTAATATATACCCACATGACAGCTCATTGTTACTTTGTAATTCTACTCCACAACAATTCAGAGGTTAACCTGGTATTTTTACTCCACTACATTTATTTGAGTTACTTTGTAATTCTACTCCACTACAATTCAGAGGTTAACCTGGTATTTTTACTCCACTACATTTATTTGAGTTACTTTGCAGATTCTGATTAATGATGTGAAATATAAAACAACCCTTAAATCAGACTTTAGTTACACCTGAGTAAATTCAGGGAAGGTGATTGTCAAGTGCCAATAATCAGGAGAGATATTTGATAGTTGGTGCTTGAGAAGACTAAACATTTATCTGCAATTGACATGAATGGAAACGAGTAATAAAGTATATTCATTACTCGTTATTCTCAACTAATAGTTAATTAAAGACTGTATAATGGCTATTTTGCACATCCCTTTCAAGATTTCAAGATTTTCAAAGGTTTATTGACATATCATACACAACTATGGTGTGGTTATGCAATGAATGAAAAACGTGGGTCGCAGCTGAGGTTTGTTATGGAAATCTTAGACCTAGTCAATACTGTGGAGATACACAAGTCAGAAATATCAAACAATAAATGGTGAAACAGACAGAGTTATCTTTCCGGTTATTTATTTGAATATTCAAAGACACAGGTCTCACAGAACACAGAGTATCCTTAGAGAGTGCGCGCAGAGTGAAAGATGAATACAGGTTATGTAGGATTTTGTCAGTTCAACAACATTCCGTCACTTATTAGGAGGGGCCCTGGCAGGAGAGATAAGCTTTCCAAAGGAACTGAAACTGTCAATCACTAATAGATTGAACCAGGGGCCTGTTCAGCAAGAGGGAAGTGAGGAAACTTGTCAGCAGCAGATGGAGGGCTAAGAAATGGGGGACTTGATTATAAGACAGGGAAACTAACAGGAACTTGCCCATTGCCCTGCGCTTGGTACACAGCCCCCTCATCAAGTTCAGACCTTAGATGACCTTAAATGTCACTTCACTAGCAGGAACCACGCCACAACAGTGTGATGTTTGTAAGTTTATTGAAGTAACATGTGAATGATATGAGGGGGGTGATCTGGGAGGACGAGCTGTGGTCCGTGCAGTGGGAGACTCAGAGTGGGGGTTCCGTCTCCGGCATGATCTGCGTGGGCTGATTACGGGCCCCCCAGACAATACCTGGGATTAAAATGTTAGTATATACAGTATATAAATATGCACCGTTTAATATAAATGTTGACGGGTAGAGGATGTTGGGATGAAGGGATGAGGGATGAAGGGATGAGGGATGTTGGGATGAGGGATGAGGGATGTTGGGATGAGGGATGTGGGGATGAAGGGATGAGGGATGTGGGGATGTGGGGATGAGGGATGTTGGGATGAGGGATGTTGGGATGAGGGATGTTGGGATGAGGGATGTTGGGATGAGGGATGAGGGATGTAGGGATGAGGGATGTTGGGATGAGGGATGTTGGGATGAGGGATGAGGGATGTTGGGATGAGGGATGTGGGATGAGGGATGTGGGGATGAAGGGATGAGGGATGTGGGATGTGGGATGTAGGGATGAGGGATGTTGGGATGAGGGATGTTGGGATGTTGGGATGAGGGATGTGGGGATGAAGGGATGTGGGATGTAGGGATGAGGGATGTTGGGATGAGGGATGTAGGGATGAGGGATGTAGGATGAGGGATGAAGGGATGTAGGATGAGGGATGTTGGGATGAAGGGATGTAGGGATGAGGGATGTTGGGATGAGGGATGGAGGGATGGAGGGATCGCTCGTTGTGAGTCGGAAGGGGAACTGTATGGGTAGAAGGGAGAGGGAGGGCTGGTTGAAAGGATGGAGACAAGCGGTGGCCGGAAGTTTTGCCGGATATAAATAGGGGTGGCCGTGGTTCGAGGCGGAGTTTTAGGCGTGGCCATGCTCCTGAACCTATGTTAACAATGTAACCTCATTTCACTAGCAGGAACCACGCCACAACAGTGTGATGTTTGTACGTTTATTGAAGTAACATGTGAATGATATGAGGGGGGTGAAGAGATGATCTGGGAGGACGAGCTGTGGTCCGTGCAGTGGGAGACTCAGAGTGGGGGTTCCGTCTCCGGCATGATCTGCGTGGGCTGATTACGGGCCCCCAAAAGAGTCGGATTAAAGCAGCTGATGTAAGTAAGCGTGATACGTTTGGGATGACGAGCGGCCGAGGGCCTAGATGGTTGGATAAGAGATGCCCGGTCTAGCTGCTGTGGACGCTGCGCCAATGCGGAAGGAATGGCTCGAATAATATTCTGAGCATATCCCCAAAATAAGCAACGCGTTGTGGAAGTGTTTCTGGAACCAGAAACGTGTGGCCGTTTTCCCTGTTTTGGTGAGAAAGAGTGGGTGTGGAGGCGTTGCGTATGCATCGTACCTTGCGCTGAGGTATTTGGTTAGTGGCTCGTATGGCTGGGATACGAGTTCAGGCGGAAGATGTGGAAAGAAATTCCCAGCTGATCCGTTTTATTCCGGAGTGTGAATATGAGAGTCTTTTGCCGTGGAGGGCTAACAGCTGCCATTTCATGCATCTGTCTGCCTGTAAGTAGTTTGACAAGAGGAGAGTGATGCGCTGTACTTTCTCTGAGGATAGAGAAGCCCGGAAAGACATTAAGTCCAGGGTGATGCCTAGAAACTCAATGGAGGTTGTAGGCCCTGAGGTTTTCCCCTCAGACAGAGGAATGCCAAGGTCTGAAAATGTTTGTGTGAGTGTGCTCAGCCCGTGGCGGGGGGGTGAGGATGGTGGAGTGACGATGAGAAGTCGTCAAGGAGATGGAGCACGTAGGGGAGTCTGTGGTTATTTGTCAAGATCCATCACAGCGCTTGTGAAAGGGAATCGAAGATCTTGGGACTGCTTCTGCAGCCGAATGTGAGGCGTACTGAGAAGTAATAGGCTCCCATCCAGTACACTCCGAAGAAACGCCAGAAATCTGGGTGTATAGGCAAGATCTTGAATGCACTGGTGATGTCTGCCTTAGAGAGGCATGCTCCCCGGCCTGCTAAGCGGATGAGGGTGATGGCGTGGTCGATGTTTGCGTATTGCATTGAAAAGTCTGGGCTTGGAATGACGCTGTTAATGCTCGGGATGGCTGAGCCGTGTGGAGAAGACAGGTCTATTATGAGCCTCTTTTTCCCAGAGTATTTCCTAGTAGCTATGCCTATTGGACTGATGTGGAACACTGGAAAGGGGGGAACTATCGAATGGGCCTATCATGAACCCTTCTTTGACTTCTTTGGCTAGTAAGGTGTCAACGGCAGGAGGTTCTGTTAAAGCGGACTGAAGGTTGTGGCAGATGTGAGATGTGTCGGGCAGTATTGCTATGCCTGGGTGTGAACCATGGGTGAAGCCATTGGTGAGAAAGTAAACAGACTATCTGGATGATTCGCTGAGGCGGTAGCTAAGTTGCTTATCTTGACGGGTGTGCTGAGGTGCCGTGCTAGTCAATCTGCTGATGTAGTTGGGTTGTGAGGGCAGGTGCTCCTGGCATGAGCGCCGCCGCAGAAAGAGCAGATTTGCATGAGGCGGCAGCTAGAAAAAGAGCAGCCTAGGTCATTGAAATTGTTGCACACCATCCTGCCTTCCTGCGGGTGATAGACGGTTAAAGTCTGAGGCGTTGCATGGTGGAGAGGAAAGTGAGTGAGGTGTTTGAGATGGTGGAGAGCTGACTAAGCATGCTAAGGCCGGGTGGGGAGGGGCTCCGTATTATTGGCAAGTGAGGGATGCGCGTGCTGCGAAGATGCGGCAGTAACGCTCGGAGTCCGGAGCACCCCGGTATGTTCCCTGGTTGAACGGCTTGATGCGGCCGGCGGCTTGGCTAGCGAAGTTTATTTTATTATTTGTATTATTTTCCCTGAGAGAGAGACCGGAGCGTCTACTTGCGGCGAGGGTCAGAGAGAGAGAGACCGGAGCGTCTGCTCACGGCGAGGGTCGGAGAGAGAGAGACCGGAGCGTCTGCTCACTGCGAGGGTCAGAGAGAGAGAGACCGGAGCGTCTGCTCACTGCGAGGGTCAGAG